CACACACACRCACACACACACACACGCRCRCRCACACACACACACACACACACACACACGGTCGCGCATGCAAGAGTGCACTTGTACACAAGACAAAACCGCCGCATGGACTACAAACAGTGTAGGCCATGGCCCCCGCACACACACACGCAAGCACGCACGCACGCTCGCGCATGCAAGAGCACACTCGTACACAAGACAAAACCGCCACATGAACTACAAACAGTGTAGACCATGGCCCCCGCACAAGGATGACAGGCACAAATCAAGAAATGATCCATACAAAAAAAAACAAAAGAACAAAAACCAGCACTTCTGATCCAGTCCGTGAGGCCAGTAATCCAACGGTCCCAATTGACACACGGTCTGAACTTTTTACCATCCCACGATGATCTGGGCCATAGGCCAAGCAGGCTTCCCACAGCATGGATCTTAGGTTTCTTACATTCTCACAAATTCCATCCCAGGGCCTACTGTGCCGACTGACAGCACAAGTATCCGATTTCTTACATTAGCAATTTCTGGTGGTGCAGATCATTCACAACTGCCGTAGTCGTCAGAAGACCCCCTCCCCGCCACCCCCACACCCCATCCCCCCCTTTCTTCAGCTGCTCCATCAGACTGACGAGCAATCCAACAGCCACAGGTAGTTCTCCTGTCCATGAAGATACTGGTGGTTAAACAAGGATGCTACACCGCGCTGATGTATGCGAGGCAAATTGCAGACTACAGGAGCTCTATCCATGCCATATTAGTGACCCTCTGTGCAAGTCCATCATGCTAGAGAGAGGAGAAAACAATGATGAGGTGCGGATGGGACCGCCAAGTTATTCTGCAGAGGGAAGCAACCCACAGCCCATGGAAAACAGAGTGACTTGAGACCTGACCAAAAAGCAAGGAGAGAGCTCTGCAGCTCACCCTCTACACGGGGAACAGCCTATGAGAAAGGTGGACAATACAAAAGCAATTGCAGATGGCCTCACCTCTTCTTTAAGGGGAAGTCCTTTCTCCACGTCTTCCTTCATCCGACGAAGGAGCCGCGGCCTGAGCACAGTTTCTTGCAGATCACGAACCTGACCAGTTATTCACAAAGAAACACCACACACACAACAAACGCTCTAATAAGCCATACGTATCTGCACGGTACGACAGCCAGCAGATATCGACTTGCGAAAGCCCCAAAGGACACTGCCTTTCTAACTTTCTGCTTAGGAAAGAGCAATCGCAACAGACTGGCTTTTGTACCACACACCCTCTGCCGCCTAGGGATACCCCTCCACATTTACAATATATCCCTCATGTGCACTCCACCTAGCAGGCAGTACCTTTTCCACCTCCGAACCTCCCTCTGTTGCCCCAATATAGTCCACATTCATACACAAGCATTTGTCCTAGATCTGGACGAGTGCCTAACAATAGTTGCTAGCAGCTGAATTACAATTAGATCACACTCGAGGGCGAGAAAGAGAGAGAGAGAGAGAGAGAGAGAGGAGGGAGATAGTAGATACAAGAAACGAACATCATGAGCTTGGCCAATAATGGACACCCCTTCTCTGCACCACCAGACCCCAACCACTTAGATTTGTCGAAAGGGGATGACAAGGAGCTCCCCCCCCTCATTCCTCACCACCCTCTCCCCCTCTACCCCTGTTTCCCTGATCGTAACCGTGGTTGTAAAGAAAGGTGGGGTAAACTGGAGGAATGGTGGAAGAGCCTCAAGACGCAAAAACAGAATAACCAGAAATGCGTGTCTGACTCTCCACACAAGAGGCAAACCCGAGCAGCAAACAGTTTCCCTGATCAAAGCCGTACCAGTCAAAAAAAAATGTGCAGGGAACAGGGGAATCATCTCAAGAGGGGGGGGGAGGGAAGAAGGGCCACAAATGTGCATGCATGACACCACACACATAAGCAGCCAACCATTGCTGCAAGCGAATAGACAAGACTGCATCCATACACTTTTTTATTCACCAACCTGCTCGGCATCCTTCATGTCGCCATACTTTTCTAAAAATGCATCCTCGTCCGAGAAAGTTCGCGGATCCAGAACATTGAGCAAGCCGCTGCACCGGACAATCAATTTCAGACAAATTCACACAAACACAGAAAACCAAACCGGTCCATGTTGTCAGAGAGCAGTTGCAAAGCAGAGTGCCGCTCGACCTAGTGTCCCCTCTTATCATCCTTCACAAAGCCTGCATCCCACCTGAACATCCCGCAGAGAAGCAGACAGTATGCAGTAAGGACACCCACTTTTCGCAAGCATGACACTCTGGTGGGTCACTCCCCTTCAAATCCAAACTCACAACAAGGAAACTCACGTTGACGACCAGAACAGCACATTTGCGGTTTTCCTTGAATGCAGATTTGCTTCATCTCAGAATCAAATCATTGTCATCTCAGGCATTTATTGCCCAAGACTGCGCTTTTTCTAACCACCCCACCATCGTCGGGAGGAGGAGCTAAAAATGGACAGTGAGAACGAACAAGCTCGATCGATAATGCAAAGAAAGACTGGTAGCAAGAAGATGATGGAAGATGTATGAGTCAATCTCCTCCCCCCCCCCACTTACTAAAGCTCCCTGATGTTGTTTTGCACGGGGGTTCCTGTCAGCAGCAACAGCCCGCCTTCTCGGAAACTAAGCTCCTTAAGTGCCAACGTCGTCTTGTTAGTCAACCCCTTCAACCTGCCATGCAAAAAGAAGGTATCCGAAGCGAACAGAAAACAGCACAGCTATGGAACTGGTCAATCCTGAAGCACACCCATGAATGAGGCAGATGCATCCATCAGCAGTCCAAGGAGCAACCTGAGAACAGTAAGACTAATATTAGCCATAAATCACCAAACACTTCATCCATGGATTTCCCATCGAGGGGAGACCGCAATGAAGATGAATCAGGGAAGCGAACATCAGTATAAGGTTCGTCGAGTCAGGAGGGAAGGAGGGGAGGACATTACATACAAAGCCTCACAGAAAAAGGGAGACTGCAACAACGGTGAATCAGGGAAGCAAACATCAGTATAAAGAACGTCGAGTCCGGGGGGAAGGAGGGGGGGACACTACATACAAAGCCTCACAGAAAAAGGTTAACAAATCAGGGCATACTCGAGACGTTGGGTCAGTCACACTTCCACACCACTGCCCATCACACCCTTTTCTCCACCCATCAAATGCCGCTCATGCAAACCCACTTCATTTCTTCTCAACTTCCTAATTCTTGAGGCTGATCTGTGCCCATAAGCACCATGCGTCGCACTGTGTCACCACCTTTTGTCTCCGGAGAACACAAATGTGTGTTCACCTGCTCCCAATTTCATCCTTTCTGAAAACTAGGTGGCACAGTGTGACTGCTCATCCCACCAAGCCAGTGTTTGCACCGCCCCACAGAACCTTGCAAAAAAATGCAAGGAAAAAGGGACTCGTTCCCCGCACATAACGCAGATGTGCTGTATTCGAGTTATTGAAAAAAAATGATTTGAATGGAACGCATGTGTTCTATTCGAATAGAGGACACATATGCGTCGTATTCAAATAGAAAACAGACACATATGCGTTGTATTCAAATTTCAAACAGAAAACAATCTATGTGTTCTATTTGTTTACAACCCATATGCGTTATGTGCTGGGGAAGACGGTAGTCTGCACTACATAGAGGAAGGAGTTTGCAGCATGCATGCGGGAAGAACCATGTGGACGGACACTCCTGCCTGGCACATAATCAACCAATCAATCTGAAATTTCGCTACAAATGGGACAAAAGCAGATCGTTGACTTGATAGATTACATCAATAGCTATATGTCAATTTCATGGTCTTTGGTTCGGAAAGGGGCGTTTTGCTTCCTTCTCTCATTGTTTTTTTCTTTTGTAAGAGGTCAATGGAGGAACAGCCCATCACCTGCAGTTCCCGACAGTTATAATGTTTGCAGACGATCTCACAGTCCTCGTAAGAGCTTCAGACTCGTCTTTCAGTGCGTTAGTAAGAGCAATGGAAGCGTTCAGACTGGCTTCAGAAATGAAGATTAATGGGAAGAAAACAATTGGCTGGTGGCTATTGGAGGAGGAGGTTTCCCAGCTTCAAGGCCCCGAGGCAGACATGACTTGGGAGAAACCGGAGACCCCTACGCGATATCTAGGCATTTTGCTGACAAAAGACGGCTTTGCACCTCAAATGGCTCAAAATATACTCGTCAAACAAATTAACAAACTAGGCAGATGGGGTAGCACATTCACATCATTACTGGGCCGAGCACTTGCCATCATCACATCTATTTTTTCAACGATGTGGTATATAGCATCAATCTGGACAGTTCCGGACCACACAATCAAGGAACTTAACCGCAAATCAAGAGCGTACTTGTGGTCGGGAGACCCCAACAAAGAGAACTGTATACCAAAGATAGCCTGGCATTACATCACAAGGAAACCAGCCAGAGGAGGTCTTGGTATCATAGACCCCAAACAGGAAACCAAGGCCTTGCAAGTTAAATGGATAGTCGAATTACTAACTAAACCTGGCACGGCATGTAATAAACTGGCCTTGGACAGCATCAGGGGGCTAGCACCGACAGCCTCACCAGCAGACATGTCTGGTCTGCTCTGGGTAATGACCAAGGAATGGAGTCCCAAGTGCAGGGCGCAGAAATCAGAGAAGAAGAATTGGTGTAAACGAAGCCAGGCCTCCCACACCATATTGGACTGCATTGCTAAGGATATGGTGGGAAGTCATGCCGAAGAGGGTGGGTAGACCCAAATCCAAAGATGAGATATTGAGACAACCCCTCTTTGGTAATCCGTGAATGAGAGACAAAAGTGACCACCAACTATCCCTTAACCCGAGAGGAAGGAGATGGATATCGTGCATCAAACACGGAGTGTGGAAAGTGAGTCATCTGTGGAACGATGAGAAAAAGGACTGGGTGACAGAGCAGGAACTGGCCTCCCAGCTCAAAGGATGTCACCGTCGACAAGAGAACCTACAATCCATTATCAACTGCATCCCAGAAGGCTGGAAGGAGTTGTTGAGCGAAACCTCATCCTGGAAGTCGGGTGAATGGGGAATGAGGGTGCAGGATCTAACCCCTTCAAGGGCCTATCAATTCTCCCATAAACAGCAAGGGTCGGTTACCCTGGCTGTGTTTACCTCTTTCCCAATTACCTCCTTCAGGCAAGGCCTCCCATCTATCATAAATAAGGACGTGGAAAGAACAGTCCTAAATCATTTTGTTCGCCGAAACCTAATAGTGTTCGGATCTTGGCCAAAAACAATCTTCAGAGTAGATACGGCGATTCAAGACTTGGAATTTGATCCAGCAGAATGGGCTTGGACACCAGATAGAAACAGAAGGCTCAAAACGGAGGTCCCCATCCAGGAATACACAGTCAAACTGGGATACAACTTACTCCTCAAAACAAAGGATCCTGACCCAACGATCATGAACAGATGGCAGAAGTTATTAGGTCAGGACGCTAGTCAGATCCCACAAATACCGTGGAAAAAATTCAAATCAATCCGTCCGGTCAAAACCAGGAGCCTCCAATAGCTCATACCACACGTGGCCCTACCGGTTAACCAGTGGCTGCATACCAGAAGAAGTAAGAACGACCCCAACAGTTCAGCTTTATATGCGGTATGTTCAGAAAATAAACCAGAAGACATGCTACATTGCCTGATACACTGTAGAGAGGCTACAAAATTCTGAGCGATGGAATTCCCTCTTCTCGACCCCCCTCCCTGAACACCCCATCCGACTCCTGTGGACTAACATCCCAGCTCAGTTCCACAAGACAGAGAAAACGTGGTTCGGAATGATCAGAAAGGTAACGCTGTGGTCCATCTGGAAGGAAAGGTGCGGTAGAACCATAGAGGGACTCTCAACTCCAAGAGTGAAGGTATGGGCAGAGACAAGAACCTTGATTCAGGCAGAGATTCTGTGCAAGTGGCAAAAGACGAGACACTCCATGCCAGACGACGAAGAGCAACAGAGAAGAATCTCGGCAAAATTCACTAAGGTGTGGCTCGCAGGGGGCAAAGTAGCAGAGATAAATGACCTTCGCATACAGTGGAAAGACTGGCATAACTCAGAAGCAGGGTGGAGAAGACAGAGATCCCAGCCAGCAGACGGACAAGATCCATCACAGGGCACGTAATATTGATGGGCAATTTCCGAAAGTGCATCCGCTGCAGCTTCTTTTACCTTTCTTGCTCTTTATTATTTTGCTGACAGGTTCATGACGTGGACCTGAGAGGGAAGGTGGAAGTAAGGCAAGCTGACAGTCAATCCTCCACGAGGTCGGAGTAATCAATGCTGGTCAGGGGTCCTTCGGCCAGAAGAAAGGAAGCGTGAGTGTGTGTCATGATGTAACATTGTATTCTGACTTGTCGGTGGAATAGGAACCGGACTGATGCTCCCCAGAATGGAAATGGAGCCAGGGCCATAAGGACCTGTTTTAAAAAAAAAAATAAAAAAAATAAAAAAAAGATGTGTCCGTCATCCTTGCGCAGGGGTCATGTTAATCTTCTCCGTATCAGAGGACCCTTCTCTCATTGTCTTTTACATCCAATTAGTGATTTTGAGCCAATCGCTGAGCTGACGGAGATTATCTTTCCCATACAGCGGTCTTTTTTTTTTTCACACATTCTGACAGTGAGAACACCATGCATGCATGCGCCTATGCCGGTGTTCATGCACGCACGCACGCATGCACGTATCCAGGCATGCATTCGCACACATATGACGGCATGCATGCATGGACCCTTCTCTCATTGTATTTTACATCCAATTACTGATTTTGAGCCACTCGCTGAGCTGACGGAGATTATAGTTTCCATACAGCGCTCTTTTTTTCCACACATTCTGACAGTGTTCATGCACGCACGTATCCAGGCATGCATGCACACACGTATGATGGCATAAATGCATCCACGAACCGCCTCCTACTGGTCCCAGACCTCGAAGCCACGAGTGTCATTCACATTCCGAATCATAAGAGGCATGCTAGCATGCCGGTCGGCGCAAGGGGGGGGAAAAAAAAGAAACACACCTGTGGGCCTCATCTGCAATCACATACTGCCAGGAGGGCTTGGAAAGACAGCTCTTGTCTCTAAGGAGAATTTCAAAACTGGTCAGCAACACCTGTGTAAGCACGCCCAGTCGACAAACAACACAAGAACAAGGTTCAAAAAGAAGAACCCAGGGCATACTCACAATTATACAGTCAGTAGCACCTCATCTTTTGACTACCCCCTCCTCTTCTTGCGAATAGGTCATCATCAGTGTATCGCATGAAAAAGCAACAATCAATCGAGAGCAAGCTTCCTCACAAACACAGCAATCTTACACCTCGCCACTTTGACAAATGAGAGCAAGCAAGCCATACAGTTGCACCTTATCCCACTCAGAATTCCCAACTGTAAAAAAAAAGAAAAGGAAAAAAAAAAAAAGAAAGAATTCCCCAACTGCCATTGGTGATCAGCAGACGGGGGAAACCGAATCCACCGATCGTGTCCCGCTACGCAACCCAAATGCCCGTCCACCCTGAGCAATGCACAAAACCCTTTTTCCAGGGATGGCATTAGAACCACACTGGAAGAATGCATGATAGGCACAACACTGGGGGCATATTTGCCCCCGATCAAGGACCATCATTTGCAGGGCCATCATTCTAGGACCGTAACTTCCAGCACCATAGTTCCCAGGGCCATGATTTCCCCCAATCAAGGAAAGCCATAATTTCCCCCGATCAAGGGCAAGTTCTGAATCTTTGGTCAAATAGGTCATGGAACCATGCACTGCCCCAATGGAGGGGAGAAGAAAATAGCCGTTCTCGTCCATTCCAGTTGCAGACGAAAAACACTGCACCGGGAAAACCAACGCGGAGAACCACCTCTCATACCCCAGAATCTAATGTGAGTCATGTTCAACTGCAACTTATTGACAACAGCACAACTCAAACCAACCCGAAAACCCCCCCCAAAAAAGAAAAGAACCCACGAGACTGCAAAACACCACATACATTCGGTTCTTCCCAACCCAGGTGGCTTTCTTCGCCTTCGCCCCCCCCCCCCCCCCCCCCCCCCCCTTCACTCCTCCGCCGCCACTGTCCTTGGACAAAGAAGCTCCGCACATGGCCACCCACTCTGAAACCATTCAAAGACACCACGCAGAAGATTGCAATGGGTAATTTTCACTATCCTCCTAACCCTGTAGACCACGTGTCCATTCATCAAGGAACCATTTGCCACGATTCATGACCTTTGCTAAGATTCAAGACCGAAAAATTGAAACTGATGATAGACAATCGGACGGAAAGGCGGACACACAGACAAGGAGAGAAACAGAGAAACAAACAGGGGCAAACAGAGATACAAGAGAAAGAGGGGGGGAGAGAGAGAGAGAGGGAGAGAGAGAGCGGTGGGAAACAGGGAGGCAAACAAGAGACGGCGAGAGAAAGAAAAGGAGGGAGAGAAAAGGAGGCAGAAAAGGAGAGAGAATGGCAAGAACACAGAGGAACAAAGAAAGGGACAGAGCAAGGGAGGGACCAAAAACCAAAGGGATCGATATGATGAAAGGCAATGCAAAAGGGATTGCAATGGAAGGGATACGAGGCGAGACAACAGAGGATATACACACAGGGAGGGAAGTCCCACATTCCCTCAGCTCACATCTTTTGACTTTCTGCCACTTGCAAATATCTTTTGAAGGGAAAGACACTTGCATGTAGGCATAGGATCTCTCTTGCTTCTTGGTTCAACCATACGTCCGCAGTCAATGACAGTTAGATTGCGTGCAACGCTCCGAGAAAATTGGGAAAGCCATGAATTCATACGCCACGAGTTCTAAACCTAGTGTTAGAAAGTTGAGAGGAGAAGAAGAGAAGAAGAGAAGTTAAGTTCAGAGCGTGATGCACACCACAGAGAAAAATGTGTTTTCACATCTGTGAAAAAACAAGAAGACGAAGAAGACGAAGAAGACGAAGAAGAGAAGGAACAAAGTTGGCAGTGGTAATTTTCTAAGCATGCGTGCACCCAAGCCAGACGAGGAAAGCAAAACAACGCTGAGGAAACCAAACACACGAGCATGCAAAAAATGAGTATGTGGACTTGCAAAACGCGAAAGGCAATACCTGGATTAAAAACAAAACAAAAAAAAAGAGAGAGGAACCAAAAGTTATATACAACTAAATTCCAAGTTTCGAAAGAAGAAAAAAAACAAGTGTTCAAAACGGAGAGAGAGAGAGAGAGAGAGACTGGCATCACCAGCAACAAAAGATACTCACTCACATTAAATTTGAAGGGCCTTGTTCCCTTCCTCTCATAGTAGAACTCGTATTTTCTAATCAAATCGCGGTCTTCTGCAGTCCCACTGTACACCACACAATTCATATCGCTGATACTCTCAAGTTCACGCTTCCAATGACCCAGCGTTGAGACAGGCGCTAAGACGAGGAACGGTCCAGGATTGCCGCGACAGTGAAGATACTCGAGCATGGCAACGGACTGCAAACAACATGCACATACAGACCGCCAAGGAGGCAAGTAGACATGCAAGCAACCATTGAGAGCAGTGTTTCGATTATTGTTGAGCAATCTGAGCTCAAAGAAAAGAAGCGCTCCAAAGCCCGCACCACATAAGGAGATAATAAAGTGCACGCTTGCGCTGTTATTTCCTTCAGGAGAGAGGAGTGAAAGAGAAGGCAATCCTGCCAATAGAAAGGTGCTTAATTACTATGGAGATAAATGCCGTTGCAGCCAGCTGTGCGATGAACCTCGCGTGGAGAGGGAGAAAAGGACAACAAACGAGGGGCTGTGACAGACTCGTTTGTTGCCCTCTTCTCCCTCTGCTTACAGCTTACCGGGCAGTTCTGTTTGACAATTAAGTAACTAAAAAGAATATATATCGTCAAACAGAACTGCCCGGTAAACCGTAGGCAGAGAGGGAGAAGAGAACAACAAACAAGGGCTGTGACAAACTGTTTTCGTTGGAGTTTCACTGACTCCTCAGAAGGTGATATATAAAGAGAACCGCCCGGTAAACCATAGAGATATATGTATATACATCGTCAAACAGAGCTGCCCAGTAAACCGTAGGCAGAGAGGGTGAAGAGGACAACAAACGAGGGGCTGTGACAGACAAACTGTTTCGTCGGAGTTTCCCCTCCCTACTCGTCTGGAGGCTGAACCCTCAACAGTCTGCAGAATCCCTAACTGATTACACTGTAAGTGATAATCCACCTTAACCCCGGTTGTGGTTAAGCATCAATGACTGCCCGACAACTGATAGATACCCTGAGGTTGGCACCAACCACTGCCCTCTACATATGTATATATATCGTCACAAGCATATCAGAGCGCAAAAGCGAAAAAAAAAAGGAAAAAAAAAAAAAAGAAGGAAAACAGGAAAAAATGAATTCATGATCTAATCTTCTTCCTTATAACTCCCCCTGTTAAAGTTGAAGTTAAATTCAAATACTAATGAAAAATAAGATATATATGTTTTTTTTTAATGAACTTTCTTTTTCTGATTTTATTGAATATAAAACAGAATTTCCTTGTTTAYGAGTAGATAAAAAACAAACTTTAGATTTATGTTATTCTTTGGTGATAATTGCAATGAATTATTTTGTATAAAACGCATCATGGGTTAATACGCTTTTATTGAGATCACTTATGTTTTTCGAATATTTCCTTCATTATATATATGTGTATCTGTTTGACGATGTATACAGCCTCCTGATGAGTCGGTGAAACTCCGGCAAAACAGTTTGTCACAGCCCCTCGTTTGTTGTCCTCTTCTCCCTCTCTGCTTACGGTTTACCGGGAAGCTCTGTTTGACTACATAGTACATAGTACATATATCCTCACAAACAGAACTGCCCGGTAAACCGTAGGCAGAGAGAGAGAAGAGGACAACCAACGAGGGGCTTTGACAAACTGTTTCGTCGGAGTTTCATATGTATGCATTGTAATACACACATAATAATATTTGTACATAAATGTATAAAATTAAAATAACAAAACTATACAATAAAGCTCATAATATTAATAGCCTAATCCCGTCGCAATTTGGAAAACTTGTAGCCGTTGGAGACGGACGACAGAGGGTCCAAACAAAGATCCCCGGTGTTATGGTCTTATTTAATCTACTAAAAGTAAATCTACAGAGCAGTCGATGCATGTCCATGCCCGGGCATCGTTAGCGATAATTATCGACAAATTACCGTGTTCACCTGAATAGAACGCTCGGTCATCATTGCCGTATCTCGACTGTGAGTTGCCCCAAATACACCTGTAATGACAGGGCGTTCTCTTCGGGTGAATACGGTACTCGTGCTCTCTTGTAGATTAACATAACTAACCTATGAGAGCCAAGAAGGGCTCATGTTTCGCTCATCGGGGTAAGGACTGGGAAGAGAGAGAGGGAGGAAGGTCGATGGGAAGAGGGAGTGAGGGGGAGAGAGAGAGAGAGAGGAAGACAGGACGAGTGCTTGAGGGAGACAGAGGGAGACGGAGGGTCGATGGGAAGAGGGAGTGAGGGGGGGAGAGAGAGAGAGAGAGAGAGAGGAAGACAGGAGTGCTTGAGGGAGACAGAGGGAGACGGAGGGAGGGATGAGAACCTTGCACAAGTATACCTATGTTTTCCGCAGTCTTGCGCAAATAGTTTTCTGCCTGGCAGGAAAGTGGAGCACCTTTCTGTGGTAAATCAGCCGAGGGCGGTTTTCTCTTAGTGGCAAATACTATTACCGGCGATACTATTACTATTACTACGGGGTACTCTCTAGCATATTCCTATTGCTATTGGGTACTACTATTACTACAGGGTATTATATATATATGGTCAATATATCGTCACATATATATCGTCACAAATAGAACTGCCCGGTAAACCGTAGGCAGAGAGAGAGAAGAGGACAATATATATATATATATATCGTCACAAATATATATATATATCGTCAAATAGAACTGCCCGGTAAACCGTAGGCAGAGAGGGAGAAGAGGACAACAAACGAGGGGCTGTGACAAACTGTTTCGTCGGAGTTTCAATATATATATATATCGTCAAATAGAACTGCCCGGTAAACCGTAGGCAGAGAGGGAGAAGAGGACAACAAACGAGGGGCTGTGACAAACTGTTTCGTCGGAGTTTCACCGACTCATCATATATATCGTCACAAATAGAACTGCCCGGTAAACCGTAGGCAGAGAGAGAGAAGAGGACAACAAACGAGGGGCTGTGACAAACTGTTTCGTCGGGGTTTCACCGACTCATCAGGAGGCTGAACCCTCGTCACATGGATATCAGAGCGCAAAAGTGAAAAAAAAAACAAAAGGAAACAACAAAGATATCAATTCATTTTTTATCTTCTTCCTTACAACTCCCTTTTTTCAGAAACTCTTGCGTACAAGGCCGCCCACGTGGATGTAGGTTGAGCGGCGGCTGCCCCCACCCCCGTGTGTGACATCGACCCACTTGCACACAGCCAAAGGGCAAAGAGGCAAAGAAGAGAGGAAGGGAACAGCCAAATACAACAAAACAGGGGGCAATTAGCAACAACACAAACAAAAAACGGATCCTAGATGACAAGTCCCACATGCAAGCACCGCCCCAGCCCTACACAGGCCAAACGACGGGACAAGACCACCCAGGACAAAACACTCTTGTCTGCAGAAAAAGAAATCCCAGATTACATATCTATATACAGCAGATAGCCTTGTTTGGCATCAAGACGTTTGTATCCATCCCCATTTGTAACCCGTTCGTATATACAGTACATTACTGTTACTATAGGGTACTACATAGTATATTACTACTACTATAGCGCACGATATGTATATATGCAGTACATTTCTATTACTATAGGGTACTATATATAGAGTACATTACTATTATTGTAGGCCCAGAGTATAGGGTAGTAGATAGTGTTCTACTATTGCCATAGGGTACATTGTATACTCTACCGTCGATGCTATGACTATAACCAGAGTGTATCGAGTACTATAGACTACCCCTCTTCACCAGAATAGAACGCCCGGTCACTACAGGTGTATTTGGGGCAACTTTCAGACCAGATACGGCCATAATTGCCAGGCGTTCTATTCGAGTGAAGAAGGGTGTCTAGCATTATTATTATTATGGCTTTATCGCCGGAAACAATCTACCCCGACCAATCATCATCATCAGAAATTCGTAATAAATCACAATAAAATTGAATAAACAGTTTTAAAAAAATTATAATCCCTTTGGGCATTCAACTCCGACGTTCCCGTGGCAATTTCGGTATTTTTGCAACCAAAATTATCAGGGCTTTATCGGGATCCCGCCAGTAGCTGACGATTGCGGTTCACAAAAGGCCGAAATTGCGGCCAGGAACGTCAAAGTAAGTTAAATAACTTAAATTCCTAAAGGAGAAACTAATTGATAGTAATAGTCGAAAGCACAGAGGCGGTGCTAGGCACCGAAGAGGCGATGGGAGATAACACTATTTTTATTCGCAAAATGACAAGAAAAAAAAAGGGGGTAAAAGAAAATGAAAAAGCAAATGGGGAAAAACAAGAAAGTGGGGGAAAAGAAAAAGCAAAAGGGTCAGCGCGCCAACGGTTGTATTAAAAAACATAAAAATAAATCAAAATCGCCAAGACAGTGTCAAAGCTGCCGCAGTTATCGGTGTGTTGGAGAAGGGGAATAAATAAGTAAATAAATAAATAAACAAACAAATAGCCAAGATAAAACCGGAACACAGCTCAACCCTTCTTTGCTACGTTTTGCAATATTATAATAATTATAGTAATGCTGACATTTAGGCAGAAACGCACGGGCGGGCTCAGCTGCACTTCTTTGCGACATTTGTTTTCCATTTCTTTTTTTTTCCACTTCTCATAAATTTGTATATTAGATTTTTTTTAATATTATTATATATTCCCAGTAAAAAAGACCAGGCAAGCTCAGCTCATGTGCCACGCAAAGAATAGAACTGGAAACAAGCGGCCTTGTACGCAAGAGGTTCTGAACAGGGGAAGTTATAAGGAAGAAGATAAAAAATTGAAATTAATATTCCCTGGTTTTCTTTTCTCCTTTTTTCTCTTTTTTTCGCATTTGCGCTCCGATATTCTTGTGACAATATATATAACTATATCTACATTGATCTTTGTCTATATCTATCTCATCAATCTGCATCTATAATAACTATCTATACCTATCTGTATCTATCTATATGCCCTTCGGCTATCTATCCACTTCTCTGCCTTTCTGCCAATGGATGTGTGACTTCTCTCCCTCTCTCTCCTTTCCTATTTTGTCTACCTACACACACACACACACACACACACACACACACACACACACACACACCCCTTCTCCCCCCCTTCTAACATCTTTCTTTAGTTATTACCCCTTTGGCCATTTAGAACTTTGACGTTCCTGGCCGCAATTTCGGCGGTTTTTTTAAGCCCAAAAATCCTCAACTTACAGGGGGTTCCCACCAGTAGACCCGGACACG